GGGTACATCCCGGACCCCCGCCAACATAGCCCGGCCGCTCACTCCTCAGTCGTGAAAAAGACAACGCCCGAGTCGCCCTCGCCGTCGCCGCCGCAGGGGTTGCACTCTCCGATGACCTTGCAGTCGTCGGGGTTGGTGGCATTCTCCACTGTGGTGGTCTCTGAGTCGATGCACTGGATCCGCTCCTCGCCGTTGGGGCAGTAGTAGCCGATGCCGCAGGGCTGGCAGCCGTTCTTCTTGTGCTTGTACTGCCCGGGCTGGCAACCTGGTGGTTTAGTGGATCAGCATTTGTGTCCAAGATTAGAATGCAGGCTGCAATTGATCAAGACCAGCCAGGCGATCTTGAGAAGGGCGTCGAAACACGCGATTTAGGCAACCACTGCAGTGACTGCAAGCGCAGTGTCGTGGGCAGGCAGCATGCCAGGGCAGAAAAAAGGCCACGGGGTCGACATCGGGCGCTCACCAGAGCTGACAATCTTTGCCTGGGTCGTGTAGGGGCAGCTGCCGCCGCCCGGCGTCGCTGATGTCAGCGTCAGCGTCGCCGTGACCTGCAGCACCTGCCCGGCCGGCGGGCAGGTGTAGGGCCCCGCGGGCGCGTAGCTCCAGACGGCACCAGACCAGGAGAGCGGTGACTTGCAGGCTTTGTCCAGGTTGACGGTCTCTCCGGCCTTGCAGGAGACGTCCTTGCAGCTCGGCTGCGCCTGGGCCTGGGACCAGCACTTGCCTGGGGGAATGGTCAGGGCCGGGGCACGGTTGTGATGAATTTGTGTTGTTGGCAGCGCTGCGGCAACGCAAACACCAGGCCAAGCAGCCAGATGCCGAGACATACGCAGGGTCGGGGGTGCGGTGGGGCTGGCTGCGCAGCCTGTCCTGCCTGTAAGCCACTCACTTGAAACAGAAAAGTCGACGCAGCTGCTGCAGCCCTGCGGTGCACAGAAGGCGGCACACGCAGATGCTCAAATTGGCTTGTCAGCGGCCGCTCACACAGCCCCGCACAGCCCGCGCATGCAGCGCCGCCTGGTTCAATGTCCCTGAGAATGTACTGTCAATCGACCCGAGCCACTCGAAACCCTCCTTGGGAGAGGGACAACAGGAAACCTCTCACACACAGGAAGCTGCAGGGCAGCTGCATACCTGAGCCTTGAGCTGGGCCTCCACATCGTAGGAATCGCCGGGTGGGGGGCAGGTGTACGCCGTGGCCCGCTTATCATCAATCTTATAAGTGATCTTGCCACCTGCGGTAGGCGGAGGGCAATAGCGGCAGTGCGCATCGTAAGCAGTGCTGTCGCACTTGTGCACATTCATGTGGGTGTGGTGGATAGTGGCTTGGCGGGGCCCCCACTGTTGTTCTGCTGCATAATTCGTGCCAATTTGATATCGCGCATGGCAGCACCAGATGCTGCACAATGCACAAGGCTGCAACATGCAGCACTGCTTACGGTCAGGCCAGTGCCTTGGGCTTTAATAATCACTCTTACCAGGCACAGATGTTGTGCAGGCGCCCTCGAGCGGCACGGTGGCGCCCGCGACAGGGCAGACAACGTTCGGGCAGTTCAGCTGAGAGGCCGAGCATGTCGCTGCGGGATGGGGAGGCAGCAGATTGGGATTGGGGTGAAGCAATTCAGTTTTAGTCGTGACTGGGCATGCAACATGATGAATTGAAAGGCCTGGGCGACTGTACGTGCCCGGTGTTCGAGGCTGCACACCCATGCATAAGAGTCCCCCGTGCACGAGACAGCAGTTTTATCAATCTGTCACTGGGAGAAGCATATATGAGCAGAGCAGTGCCACTACGCTGGCTCACATGTGACCGTGATCGGCGAACCAAAGTAGTCGCACGCCGCGTTGCCGCCAAAGTCCAGCACAGCCGGCACAATGGTCAGCGCCGCGCCGTTCGCAGGGCATGTGTAGTTGCCCGCCGCAGGCGCGCCGTTAACCGTGTACGACAGCTTTGACCCGGTCAGATCGTTGGTGCAGAGAGTGTCGAGGTTGATGATGTCACCCGGCTTCGAGCAGGACGCCTCGCCGCAAGAGAAGAGCGCCGAAGAGTTGGCTGGGCAGGTGCTTGTCACCGTGTAGCCGGCACAGGCTGCATATGCGCATTGGATGCCGCAAGAGGCGAGTCAGGGAGTGCACGACATGGCCGGCTGAGCTGTGTGAGCAGCCAGGCCACCCCCTGGAAGCAGCAAGTTCCAGCTGCTCGCACCACAGCACGTGCTTCTTTGGCAATGCGTGACAAGGATTTGCACCAGCCCAGCCGCTTTCTGCTCTGCTGCTCCGACTGCCGCCACCCTCTGCGCAACACTACTCAACCAAGGCAACGCAGTGTGCAGGCGCGGTACCTGTGCCAGCGGCCCCAAAAGAGTAACCATGCAAGCACATCACAAGCCGCCGCGAAACTCACGGTAAGTGCACGAGGGGATGCCGTAGCACGACTCCAGGGCAGGCTCGACATGCACCGAGTCGCCCGGCGCGGGGCATTTGACGCTGTCGGATTTGACGTCATCGACGTACCACGCGAACGTGGCGCCCTTGATGGCCGAGGTGCACGTCCCGACGAGGGACACAATGTCGCCGGCGGTTTTGCAGGTGACGGGGGTGCACTTGACGTCGACGACGCTCGGCGCGGGGCACGCGGGGCCTGGCGAGGTCGAGTGGCGGCGTTGGGGGGTGGGTGAGGTTCAGTTGGGTGGGTGACATTCGTCAGGGTGGCCGTGCCTCTGCAGCGGTAGACTCTTGCGAGGATTGGAGCCGCGCTGTGGCGACTGGTGTGTGCAGATCTTGGAAAGGCGCCCGAGTGCGAACACAAGCAAGAGGAAAGGAAAGGGCCACCCCTGGGTTACAATCTCACCGACGACGCTGAACTTCTTCCCCTTGACTGGGCAGTTGCCGCCCCCAGAGTCCGCCTTGGGGATGACGATGACAGGGTTGCCGTTGCTGGCCGGGCACTTGACCGATGTGATCTCGTTGCCAGCCTTGTTGTAGTACTTGACGGGTCCGAGGGAGGACGAGCAGACCCCCGCGAGCTGCACATCCGCGCCGACGCGCACACACTTGGGGGCGGTGCACGTGATGTCGTTGGTGTTCTTTGGGCCCTTGCAGGTCGCTGCAGGAGGGAATGGAAAGGGCAGGCCGTTGCAGACAGCGAGATGGTAAGTGGGTGCAATTAGAGAGGGCGCTTTGCCGCCCGGCGCAGACTGGAAGGTCGGCAAGTTGGCAGGTGGATGCTGTCCGCCTTGTACTGGGTGCACAAGCGCTGCAATCTTTAATACAACCAGGACTCGCCATCCGCCAAGGCGCCCACTCCATACTCACACGTGACCGGGAACGAGGGCCCTGTGTAGTCGCAGTCGCACGCCCCGAGGTAATCAGCCACAGAGGCTGTCACAGTGGTCGTGGCTCCTGGGTTTGGGCAGTCGACCTTGACGGCCGTCTTCCCGTTCACGGTGTAGGTCACAGCGGCGCCAGGCAGGTTGACCGTGCAGGCGTTGGTGAGGCGCGTGGACCCCCCAGAGTAGGGGCAGGCGATGGGCGTGCAGTTGAACACGACAGAGTCCCGGGAGGGGCACGAGGCTGCATCGAGGGAGTTTGGAGGGATGAGGTTAGAGGTTTCCGGGGGATGGTGCGTGTCAAATTGCTGAGGAATGTGCATCAAAGGAGATCCGCGGGGGACAACGGGACGGCCAGGACGCCAGGAAAGGGAATGGAAGCTCTTTCAGGCCTCTCAGGAAACAGACCCCTCCAAGCGGTGCGCCGCTGCGCCTACCCGCAAACTGCAGGGGCGGCGCGAAGTATTTGCACTGGGTGCCGGTGATGACGGCCGTGGGAGTCAGCGTGACCGTGTTGCCGATGGAGGGGCAACTGCGGGTCGACGACGCCGGGGCGCAAGCGTCAGCAAGTGTAATGCAGGGTCGGGACACATGGGCGAGCAACTTGAGACGCCAAAAATACAACACACACAAGCCGCCACTCTTGCAGAGCACTGCGTCGCGTCACGCACCCAGCCACGTGCAGACACGCGCACTCATCAACTGCAAATTCACCACAAAGGCACTCACGTGACGGTGGTGACAGCTGTTCCAGCCTCATTGAACAGCGAGACGGGTGCGCCTGCGTAATTTCCGGTTGGTACTGTGCACTTCCCGGCCAGGGACAGCTCCTGACCGGCGTACTCGCAGACGGGCACGCCAGTGCACACAATCTGCACGTTGGCTGCGGCTGGGCACTCGGGACCTGCAGGGTGAGTTGTCACGGTTGAGCGGTCGGCGAGAAGGGCCAATGAATGGGGCAGTGGCAAGGACAGATGGGATCAAAAGGCATCCAAGAAAAGCGTGCGACAGCATGTCAGGGTTGTTACGCACTTCAAGCAGGAGACACAGCCCAGAAAGAGAGGTAAAAGACGAGGTGCTCACTTGGCACCGTGAACGGGAGGGTGGGTGGGTAGGTGCAGCCGCTGGGGCCTGAGATTATTGGGGTGACCTCGACGGATGGCTTGCCGGCCTGGGTAGGGCAGGTGATCTCTGTCACTGTGACGCCGTTTATTTCTGTGGAGCGAGGTGGAAGGATGGGGAGGAGGTGTGCATGATCAATGATGCCAGTCGTGGCTGCTTGAGGGCAGAAGTGAGAGCGGATGGGGGGCTTGGCGGGACTCATGCGCATGGTCCCAACATACGAGACATCACTCGCAAGATTGGCGTCAGCAGTGGGGCCCACTGGACAGCCAATTCTCTGTTCAGGAGCGCAGGCAACAGTGCTCACGGTATGACACGGTTGCGCCAACGATGTTGGTGGTGCAGACGTCCTTCAGGGGGATGACCTGCCCGAAGTCCATGCATTTCGGGATGACTGGGCACACCGGTTTTGCCGAGTCGCTTGAGGGGCAGGTGCCTGTGATTGTGATGGTCATCAAAAGAGCGTTGTGATTGTGATGCCACCAAGCCCAGGCCCGCGGGCAACTCAAGTATCATGCACGCGAGGCCCCCAGGCGCATGCAGTCGGGCGGTAAGGGTTGATGGGCTTCGGCGGCAGCCGCTGGTTTGCTGCGCTCACTTGTCAGGGTGAAGCCCTGCTCCGCGTTGTAGCAGCAGTCCTGCCTGAGGGGGTAGGTCGGCCTGACCAGCACCTGCACGGACGCCCCTGGCTCTGGGCACTTGGCGGTGAGCGCCTGCTGGCCGTCGATCACATAAACAAGCTGCGCGTTGGGGTCGCTGGACGAGCAGCTGCCGGCCAGCTGCACGGTGGCGCCGGCGTTGGTGCAGGCCGGGACCTTAGAGCAGGTGATGGTCGGCTTGGGCGGGCAGTCATTGGTGCCTGGGGTTGGGCAAATGAAGGGTCAAGGGGTCAGAATCGTAAATACAGCCAACCGCGGGTGATGTATCACGGCGTGCAGCCAACATTATCTGATACCATCCACCCCTGCAGCTGTGTTTGACCACCACCTGGGCACGGCGCAACATGCAAAGGTGACCAGATGTGATTAAGGGAAGGCAAGGGGAGGGATTGCCGACATTGCTCTGATGGTAAGCAATGAGATAAGTACCCATCAATGTGTGCAAGCAACCGTGCAGAGTGCTCACGAGTGATGATGCTGTAGGTGGTCGAGTTTTTGCAGTTTGGCGAACCAGGGATCACTGCAGTAACTGCAACCGTCACGGTCACGCCGCTCGCCGGGCACTTGACACTGGTGGCCGGCTGGCCATTGACAGTGTAAGTGATGGCGGCGTTGGCAGGCGCGGCGGTGCAGGTGGGGGCGAGCTGCACCGTCGCGTCCGCAGCGTCGCAGGGCGGCGGCGTACAGAAGAGCGCGGGTGACGTGGCCGTGCACACATCAGTTGCTGCAAAACAGCGGGTTAGCAGGCGGGAAAAAGGGGAGAGAGAAGATTGAGTGTGTGGCCAAGGGCATGCTGATAGGTGCCATGCATGTCAAGCGTACTTCAAGAGCGTCTGGACACACACGCACACACACACACTTACAGAACTGCAAGAACTAAATGCTCACGTGTGGGGACCGGGTAGGTCGTGCTGTTGGTGCACTGGGGCTTGCCAGGGACCACCGCCGTCGCCACCACAGTCACAGAGCTGCCGCTTGGCGCGCAGGTGAGGTTAGTGGCGGGCTGGCCGTTGACAGCAAACGTGACAACGGCATTGGCAGGCACCACTGTGCAGTCGCTGGGCGCCAGCAGCTTGGTTGCGCCAGGGGCGTCGCAGACCGGGGGCGTACAGACGATTGTGGGGTTGTCTGCTGCTGTACAGGCCGGGCCAGAGGCTGGAAGAAAGGTGTGAAGCAAACATGAGATGCCGGTTCGTGAGCGGAAGGAGGTTGTGGGGTGGCACGAGGCAATAGCTGCTTGCTGGCTGCTGTCTCCATTGTTGCATCAGGCGTTGTGTCAGGATGTTTACTGTGCAGCAAATTTGAACGGCACACGACGAACAAAAATGCACAGCACAGACTGCTGGACACACTGCAAGTGCGGGTGGCCTTGGGAAACAGGTTGACTCACATGTGGGCACTGGGTACGTGGTGCTGTTGGTGCACTGCGGCTTGTCGGGGACCACCGCCGTCGCCACCACAGTCACAGAGCTGCCGCTTGGCGCGCAGGTGAGGTTAGTGGCGGGCTGGCCATTGACAGCAAACGTCACCACGGCGTTGGCAGGCGCCACTGTGCAGTCGCTGGGCGCCAGCGGCTTGGTTGCGCCGGGGGCGTCGCAGACCGGGGGCGTGCAGACGATGGTGGGGTTGTCCGCTGCCGTGCAGACCGGGCCAGAGGCTGTGGTAGGTTTGAAATGCAGGCAGCAGGCAGTGATGCTATGGTATGAGTAACCTATCTATCTATCTATCAGCAGGGGAGGGGTGGCAGGGTGGTGGAGCGGGGTGGCTGACGCCAGCAACGGATTGTGCCGGGCAGCTGCGCCTGACAGTCTCAAGACCCATCAGTGCAGGACAGAATTCAACAAATCACAAGCAAGGCACAACCTTTGTGCCTCTCAGCCGGCACCCCTGGGTGAACTACGTGCCCACGACAGCTCACGTGTGGGCACTGGGTAC